TCAAAACCCAACTCTCATGGCATTAGAAAGAGGATCATGAAAAACCTATAAAAAAATGGTTCATGAAATTTTAGTTCACTCATAAAGCTAAAGTCCGCCTGCTCTAGCAAAAAATGCCCACTGTGCAGCGCTCATTCCTCCTCGTATTTCTAGGTATCTATCTTAAGTTGTCTCTGCAGTCGACGATACAATACATTTGTATCGGTGTGTTAGGTATTCTCAGCAGTTCTTATTCCTCACCCCTCCAAACACCAGATATTCGTGGAATCAGTGTTAAGCCCGAAATATACAACACATTTATAAAGATTGAGTTTTCTGAACTCGAAAGTTAGAAGAACGGAAACCGAAGGATTTTTCATTCGAAAAACAAACTTTTAAAGCTAAAATGTAGATATTCTTGATGAGCTCGTTGAGCTCTATCGATTAATGCATAATTAAGCAAAAACTAAAATGGTGTGGGCAGTTTGAATTTGGTGCGCCTTATATTTGAATAAAAAGTATTTTTTGATACAAGTTCAAACTTCGATCCTAGATTTATTTCATTAACGCATGTTTAAACAGTACGGTTTTGTCTTCAAAACGCTTGTCAATCTTGCATCACTTATTCCATCACTTAAAATTCAAACTTTTATCCTTTTTGCTGCGGAAACTTTTTCAAAGACTTTTTTTCTGATTTGCCACCAAAAACTGAGTATGAGAGTGGTCTTTGATTGATCTTGAAGCTAAAGGTCTGTCCGGTACCGCTCTGACGAACGCCTCTACTAGGGTATGTTAGTATGCAACTTTGCAAACATTGCTAAAAACATTGCTAGGGTTTCAGGGGATTCCGAGAAAACTGGTTCTCGAGAGAAACGCTAGGAAAGGTCTATGGTCACAAACGGCTCTCATATTCGTAATCATCGTCCTTGATTACCTATAAATTGCCAGGTTAGAACAAAATCGGAGTGCCGCACTTGGGAATGTTCCCTTATTAGATCAGGTTCTATTTTGTCATTGTCACTTTTCTATTCGCAAGTATACACACTGGACAATGTGACGTTACTCTATTATGATAGTTCATCAACATCTCAGAGTAAAACACCAACAACAGCAATGATTCAAGAGGCTGAAGCCAAAGTTAGTATCTACAACTATGAGACACAAGATATCTATTCTTTGTATTTTGTCCATCAGTTGAATGCATTGTATTCAAAAACTGGTGCAACCGTAGTTGTCATCAACGGTTACATTATCCCATATACTGGTAAAAAGTAAGTGGTCGCACTTGTATTTGAACATTATTGGTCAAGTCGTTCTCTTATTATAGACGGCAAGCCCTCTACACAGACAAATTGGTGTTAACGCTCAAAATATATTTCGTGAATGAATGTAAGTTCTGTCAAAAACGCAATAAACAATTGATTGAACAAGTTATAAACGCTGATATCTCCATTTCAATCCAGCTGGACTACCAAGAACAATGCGGCACAATTATAGCAGGAAATATCGTCGAATTGCACTTAGTATCCAATACGTATTTACATTTCGTGATCTTTGGATATTAATTATTATTGTTATTAGTGAGATTTTTATATTTTTGAGTAGAGTTTTTATAGACTTGAGCACAGTCTTCATTTAAAACTTGAGCATCAGTTTGTTCATAAGGAATTGTTGTTAACGGTATTGGTCCACCATATTTCAATTTGGATTCATGTTTGTAGAGAATTGTTCTGAGATTCGGATCTAAATTTAATTGTACTTGTTGATTATCAACGATACAACTTTTGTTCTGTATCGCTCCGATCGTATTGAGCATGACAGTCATTCGAAGTAATTGTCGCATTTGATCGGCTGATATTCCTTGATGATCTTGCAAATTACCTATATTGTTTGCTGTAGTATTCGGTAAGATTGTACGGTGAAATTGTTGAAGCCATATATCTGAATTCCATTTAAAACGAAATATTTGATGATCAGGTTTAACCACAAATTGCATAATATCTGCTTTATAATGAATCATTTCATTTTCATACCAAGTATCATTATCAATATCAGACATTGGTGGATTATTTCGAGTCGTATATAAATCAATAAATAATGGTTTTTTATTTTCAATACTCATTGCTCCAATATTTAAACATTTATCAAAAACGTTTTTATCCGATATTTCAAGAATTAAATTTTCTTCATAATATTTAATTATTGTTGCTTTACCTTCAGATATGAAATGATTCAAGATTGAATTGATATCATAATTTTCTGAAACTGGATGAATGATTAAACGACATGTTAGATTTTCTTTTTTTGATATTGGTTTATTATCAAGATAAAAAAAACTTTTTGTTGACCATTTTCGTGCTTTATCAGTGGCAATAATACATGCATTATTCGTATGTTTATTCAATTCAATATGAAGAGGTTAATAAGAAATATCTTGTACATCAATAGCACAACCTATGGCTTGTTTTAATTGATTTTCAGTTGTAAATTTTGGAAGATCTTCAAAATAACTACAATCAGCACCAAGATAAACTTGTGCATCCATATTATTAATATCAAATGTTGGATGTGACATAACATTGATTAATTCATCAAATGAAGTCGAAACAATACGATAGATATTAGGAAATTGAATGTTAACTTGATTGCATGAACATGCTGTTTGACATTTGTAAACATGCATCCATTGATCACGTATTACTTCATCTATTGGTAAATCAACATTCTTCTTGTTATCAGACACATTTAACACAATATATGATACATATTTCATATTACCAGTGAATGAAATTGTGTGTTTACTTTCCTTAGGATTAAATAAGACACCTCCGATATCTTTAACCAAAATACCTTTCACTTGATCATTCTGAACACGCATGAGACAAACACCTAATTTTAGATGACGTTTGGCACTATTCAACGAAATTTGACGACCTTTTCTACACGATGTTGAATTAAATTTGCTAATTGATTATTATCATCAATATCTAAAGGTAAAACAAAAATTTAGACAACCGATTCTGAATCGGAAGAATTCGTCCCTAGATGTCGTCCCTAGAATTCGTTTCTATGTTTGATATCCCTAGATTCGATGATTCGACTTTATTCGACGTTACGAACATTTCTAATTGTTGTTTGATTAATTTTGCCATTGTCGAATCTTTTTAACGCGTTGAAAACGTTTGTAGTTTCAACGCGTTTATTTTCCGAAAAAACATTTAAAACTACCTACGACGCGTTGAGAAAACGTGGAAAACGGTTTCAACGCGTCAAAAAACCTCGTTTTCGAAAGGCATAACGCGTCTGAAAATTTATCAAGTTTCCTGCTGTGCGTTACGGCCGTTAAAAATATAGAAATGGACGTGAAAAGCAGTAGGAAAAAGTTGTGTTGAATTCTAAAATTTTATTCACTAACGTCATGTTCAATGTTTCGTTAATATTAATATTAATACCAAGCAAAAGAGAAATGTTATACTAACGAGTAAATAAAAAGAACGAATGGTAGACTCAAGATGTTGCTCGGCAACGCCATCGATAGACAATATTGAAATCAGATACGCTGGAAAAAAATGAATATGCTTTCCTTTTTTCAGATTTTAATTGTCGTTCTTTTTTTTTATCGTGAATCGAACTACTGCAACGAGCTTGATAAATTACTAAGAAAACCAAAAGATACATCCAACATAAAATCAAAATAATTACCTTCTAATCTGCTGACTTTCTGATCTTTTCACAAAGTTATAGAATTTTCATATGGGATATTCATTCAGCAGCGAGAATCGAAGGAGTGAGAAGATCAGAAAGTCAGAGCATATAGTTCACTTATATTCATCGTATCTCTCCACGGGCTCAAAAGTCTTTAAAAATTATTAGATGAGAAGATTCCTGACAATGCAGAGAATACTTTTGCCAGCAGTATGTTGGGATCATTTTGACTTTTTTCCACTTGAAGCAGTGGTTTTTCTCTATTCTGTTAAAAAAAACACGTGTATTTGAATGGAACCGTTCACGTTAGGGAATAAAAAGAAAGAGAAACATTCGTTTTCCCCTTCGCATTAGGAACTTTTGCTCTAAGTATTTTTTCGAGCTAGAATGAATACTTCTAGAATCATGATGATAAAATACTTACTTTCATTTTTTAAAGTTTTTTCTCACATTAGCAGACGAAAGAGAAAAAATAAGGGAATCTTGACTGGCTAAAAGACAAGAGTTTCGATGTCTAATAAGATATACATTCCTTTTTTTTCTCTCACCTTCTCTTCTTTTTATTGTTGTCCATATTACATGTAGATACTTTTATTAGAGATTTCTATCGTAGAGCGTAAATTCATCGTTTTATTCATCTAGCATGCAGAATCTGTATGCTGGACATAAGGACACATTCCCAAAGGAAAGAAAACAAGCAATTATCTTTGTCTCTTTTTGTATTCATTTGATGAAAATTTTCCTCTTTTCTTTCTGCGCACGTTTTTACCCAAATAACTGGTTTTGTGCAGAGCAAAAAGTGCACAAAAAAAAAGGTAGGAGTTAAATTATTTGTATACTATTACTTACAATTATCGTTATAATTATTTTTATTTATTTTTAATTGATTCAAATGTTTAATGAATTTTTTTTTTGATTTTATGTTGGATGTATCTTTTGGTTTTCTTAGTAATTTATCAAGGTCGTTCCAGTAGTTCGATTCAACATAAAAAAAAAAGAATGAAAATTAAAATCTGAAAAAAGGAAAGCATATTCATTTTTTTACAGCGTATCTGATTTGAATATATTGTCTATCGATGGAGTATATAACAGATTTGAAATGGTAGAAGATCTCGAAGAACTTTCATTCGAAGATTGTCAACATTGTTTTGATTTTGCTCATGTATGTCAGGTTGGACGAAATTGTCAAAATAAAGATGTATTTCATTGGGAAAAAACAATTCATATAATTCGTCCTAATTGTCCAGATGGTATTCAATGCAAAAAACTTATTCACGAAGATCATTTGAATTCATATACACATTCAAATATTCGTGATATTCGACTCTTATGTATTGATGGAAATATAAAAGTAAAATCGTTATAATTATTTTTATTTATTTTTAATTGATCTAAACGTTAATTGAATTTTTTTTTGATTTTATGTTGGATGTATCTTTTGGTTTTCTTAGTAATTTATCAAGCTCGTTGCAGTAGTTCGATTCAACATAAAAAAAAAAGAATGAAAATTAAAATCTGAAAAAAGGAAAGCATATTCATTTTTTTCCAGCGTATCTGATTTCAATATTGTCTATCGATGGCGTTGCCGAGCAACATCTTGAGTCTACCATTCGTTCTTTTTATTTACTCGTTAGTATAACATTTCTCTTTTGCTTGGTATTAATATTAATATTAACGAAACATTGGACATGACGTTAGTGAATAAAATTTTAGAATTCAAAACAACTTTTTCAGCCGGTTTTCACGTCCATTTCTATCAGAGACCGAATCGGGTCTTACATGGATGACCCGAACCCGACGCGACCCGAAGATTTTTTATCCGAACCCGACCCGACCCGATTCAATATTTTTTATATTAATCCGAACCCGACCCGATCCGAAGGCTTTTGGACCCGACCCGAAATTTTCAAAAGTGGATCCGAATGACCCGAAAATTTTTCTTAGTTGATCTAACAATAACTCGAAACAGAAAACCGTTTGTCTCGATCGTGTGTTATCATGAAGTCTAATCATCATAATACGAGGCATGTCTAAGTCGTTGGTTTTTTTTTTATTTACTGTCTATCAATAAAGGCAAAAGAATTCAGTTACAGATATATCAAAAAACAATGCTGTATACGAACGAGAATTACTAAACACGTTTTTCTATATATCTTTCTTTTCTTTCTTTGCTTTAACAGTACGAGACTGTACATTACACAGCGTCATAGCAGAAAGGAAAAAATACTGTACTTCTCTTTTTGATAAAAAAGACATATGTTTGAAAATAGAAGAGTGAATTGTAACCGACGAAACTCTCCTGATTTGTGTTCTAGTGGCAAGACCCGAATAAAACCCGAAATTCTTTTTCCTTTGACTCGACTCGAATCAATATTTTTTACATTGACCCGAACCCGACCCGAGACAATCGGATCCGACCCGACCCGTTTCGGTCTCTGATTTCTATATTTTTAACAGAGTGCAAGGAAACATATTTGAATGACAAGTCTTTTTTCTCGCAGATGTATTTTAACTATTGAAAAAAGCTTCGATTAATGCAATAGAATATTTCTCGAAAGAATTCTGAAATTCTTCTTATGACATGACAAAAATCTATATTCAACGTACAGTTGAATGTAACTTAGACGGAGATGCTTTTTGATGAAAAATTTTATCGAATGAATATATTTAATTATCAAGATTATTTTTTAGTTTTATAGATGTCTTCATCGCATGTGAAATCATTGTGCTCAGAAACGGATTGATGAGATGCAGCGAAGCTATCGCATACATTCTCAAGAATTCGAACATCCATCTTATTGTCCAAAAGGTGGTGATTGTCAAGATACAACCGACGATCATGAAAAAGCTTATCAACATTTACCAAAATGTGAACAATCCCATAGATGCAGCAAATTTATAGCACGAAAAAAAGATCATTGTACTTCTTTTCGTCATTGTAAACCACGTTGTCCACATGG